CAGGGTTGCTTGATTTAAATCAAGTTGATTTAAATCATGATTTAAATCACGATTTATATTGCATGATTTTTTTAATAAAAATCACTGATTTAAATCAAATGCCAAAAATGGAATTAATGAAAGGCTGGGACTTTATATTAATCAACTGTAATGTTCGAAAACAATGTTAAATAATAGGTGTTAATGTATGAAATTGATGTTTTGAATAGAGAATCAGAAAAAAATATTTTTTCCGTACAAACATGTTTGCGATTTTTTAGATAACCACACAATTTATTTTTTTTGGTGGTGTTGCCAGCTCTATACATCAATTCTACGTAAATAAAAATGTTTTCCGTAAGAAAAACTAAAGAAATGATCGCAAAACGTAATAAAAATCGTAAATATCAAATAAATCAAAAAAATCGTGATTTTTTCTTAAAAATCTGATTTTTTTGATTAAAATAAATAAATCATGATTTTTTTCCACCCTGCTGGCGACTGCTTGACCTAACGATGAAAATTCACCGTGCTGTCGACCGCCCGAATCAGTTGCAACTGCTCGAGCGGTTCGTGTATGTGCGTCCATAGAACTCTGCAGTTCACTGTGCAGTCGCAGCTTGAAGCTGTCGACTCTGACTGCTTCAAGCGGTCCGTGTATTGCCGGCCTAAGAGCGCGTACGCAGTGCGCCCGCTTATAAGTACGCGGCCGCGCACGTTGTACATACATTTTGAGATACAAAACCGCGTACTTGGCGCCCGCGCGCGCAATATTTAATTTTAGCGGAGGCCTTTAAGGGGTTATTGTTATTATTAAAACTGATCTACACTGAAAATCGGCCCACTTACGTTTTACAGGAAAACTCGTTTCTACTGACACAATCATGGTGCCCCAACAATATTGGTGTTACTTCAAAGTTCAAAGCCCAATAAATATCCATAAAGAAAAACACATTTAATTTCTTAATGAACGATTAACATTTATAGAATAAATGTGACTTGAAAAAAGACCTCACTTGGCTCACCTCTGGGATCAATTAGACCAATTTTTATGGTTATAAAACCAAATAACGATCTCACGTGTCCTCTTTAACAGATGGATAGCGATTAATCCCAACTTAACAGTATTATAACCATAAAAGTTGGCTCAAGCGTAACTACCTATTTTTGGAAGAAGTGACTCTGGATCCTTCTAAAGACACATTTTTGGGGTAAAAACCTTTCCTTTAATGAAATGAACTTTAGAACTAGGCTTTCAAATGGTGCCAACATTTGTGGGAAGTGGGAATGCATACGTTTGAAAGTGCTTGTCGCGGGAGGGTCGATTTATTTGATGTCGAGTGTAGTTTTTGATTTTTGCGTTAATTTTTCTATGCGGTATTGATCAAAACTACATAATGTATTTATAAATTGGTACAAATTCTGAACTTACCGTTGTGCTTGATGGTGTGCGAGCGCGGCTTGTGGAAGCGCGGCCGGATGTCGGACTCGCGATCGGGCTCGGCGTCGTCGGCGTCGTCGTCGCGGTCGCCGCGCAGCAGGATCACGTCCATCTCCGAGTAGCGCATCCCACGCACCAGCACCGGCAGCAGAGCCGGCAGGCGCGGGCCCAGCACCTGAGATTGAAATAGAAATAGAAAAACCTTTATTTGACACGAAAACAAATGAAAATGAACAATAAAAGAAGAGAAAACACAAAAAAAAAGCAACATTAAACACACAACATTACATTATACAATACATAAATCTCGTGCCAAAAAGGCCCCCGCTCAGTATTAATCGAAACGCGCGTGTACAAGTGTCTCGACACTGGTTTTTAGCGGGTGCCTCTTATATTTGGCATCACATAGCTGTGTAAATAAGACTTACTTTCCTAATAACAATTTTTAGCTATTAGTCGCTTCTCACACTAAATCTACACTAATATTATAAAGAGGAAAACTTTGTTTGTTTGTTTGGTTGTAATGAATAGACTCAAAAACTACTGGACTGTTTTTAAAAATTCTTTCACCATTCGTAAGCTATATTATCCACGAGTAATAGGCTAAATTTTATTTTGGAAAAAAATAGGGTTCCGTTAAATATGTAGATTATGTAGTCCACGCGCGCGAAGCCGCGGGCGGAAAGCTAGTTTAAACAAACAACTTAAAAAAATCGAACTGCCTAAGGCGAATTCGTGGGTTCAATTCCCGCCTTTTTTTACTTTTCAACATAGACCAAGGCTGCTCAACCCCAGGGTGGCCCTCGAAAGAATTCTAAGTGGTCTGCGCAAGTATGGTTTGAAAATACGCACCAAATCCAAAAAAAGTTTTTATTGCGCTTGTCTTGAGAGTAACTGAAATTTATGTAAGTGGCCCGTCGTTAACGACTGAATCCTTTATTGCGCTTGTCTTGAGAGTAACTGAAATTTATGTAAGTGGCCCGTCGTTAACGACTGAATCCACTGTTTGGCCGGACTCTTCAAAAGATTGAGCAGCCTTGACTTAAGACTAACTACAAGACTATGCTCTTTGAGAACCTACTTACAAAAAAATAATGATTTTATGACTTAAAAAATTTTTTCATTTACAACCTAGACCTTACCTAAACTGATATCTTTCCTAGTTTACTAGTACTATGTGCTTCCAGCTACTTTCACTAGGTTATTGGTCATCTAAGTGGGAACCTACAATAGGTTCGACTTCTGATGTGTTTGAGAAAGATACCTTTGTATTGGGGTTAATAGCAAAGTGTGATTACTAATCACATTCATGCTTTTTTCTGCACTCAAGACAAAATTAATACAGCCATGTAAATCTTTATGTCAAATATACAAAAAAAAAAAATTAACATTTGGTATGCAGTACAGTATGCATAAATCAATACTTGAATATAGCAATATGTAGAAGACTTATTATTTACCTCTCTGCAGACATTTTGTTCAGCAAGAGACAGCCAAAATTCACAGGCCTCCAAGGCAACACCTTCTTCGGCATCTTGAGTGCGAAGTAACATGTACTAAAACAGATAATAAATATATTAATTATACACACATACTACATTGCAAATTTGCAACGTAGCACAAGTTACAATAGATAGTTACCTCTATAATGTTGGGTAGATGTGGTATGAGTCTATCAAGTCGCACTTCCAGCAGAAGTACCAAAGCATGACAAACATTTTTCCTTACATCTGGATCTTCATCTGCTGCTAGATGGAACAAATTCTAAAACAAAAAACAATATTAGTGCTGCTCAAATAAGACAAGATCTAATTCAAATAAACTCAATACATACCTCAATGAAGGAATCTATGTGTAGCATAAGTGCTTGTGTACGTCCCATAATAAAGTAATTCACACAGGCAATAGCATGACATCTGATTTTTGGAGATGAATGCCTAAAGAACTGCAGGAATTTTGGAATCAAAACATTCAGAGGCCTATTTAATGCATCACTATCCAGTAGCTCTGCTGTATCCTCACATATTTTTTGCAAAGCTCCAAATGCTCCCTAAAATAATGTAAACAAAAATCAGTACTACATCAAATCAAAATAGCTAGAAATTGATAAAAAAGTAGCTATAATAATATGCATTTTTGTAACTAATATCAAATTTATAATACACTAGCTGACCCGGCGAACTTCGTACCGCCTTAGCGTAGAGATTTTCTTTATATTTTTTTCCGTAAGAACCATCCTTGGACTTCCACAAACATTAAAAAAAAAGAATTATCGAAATCGGTTCAGCCGTTCACACGTGATGCCGTGACAACGCGAAACGGGTTTCATTTTTATATATANNNNTTTATAATACATTTTCAGGGAAATATTCTTACCTCACAAACATTATAGTCCTGAGAGTCAAGCATTTGACACAGGGCTGGTAAGAGTTCTGGCCATGAGGTTAGTTCACCTTTGCTGGCAATAGTGGTGATAATAATGCCAACAGTAGCTCGGATGAGTGGTGATGGGTCTCCAACTGCTGATAGGCATTCCCTTTTGATAAATTCTGCTACTTCAGGCAAAAAGCTATTGTAGTGAGCTTTTACATTGTTTTTCAAAATCAAGCCACTGAGAGACCTTGTTGGTTCCTCCTCAGTGACTAATTTAGTCAATACGAAAATCAAATAGTTGTTGAAATCCGGATATTTGTTGAGTTCTTCCAATTTCTGGGATTATTTGTAAGGAAAATATCAATAAAAGCTGTCAATAAGTGTCATGTCGGAAAAATCGATTATAACGTGAGCGTCGAGATGCGACGCTAACATTGTGAATATGTTTTATGCAATAATTATGATACAAAATTAGCCTAATACAAAAAGCAAATAACATTGAGCGTAAGAAATACGAGAAAAGACGGTTAGGGACATAAAAAATATCCACGCCGATCAAATGTATCGACATGAAAATTGCAAAGGATACTTGTTGAACAGCTCTTTGGGTTGCTGTGTCTGGTGATTGCGACTCCTTAAGAAGTGTTAATATCTGTCGCAATCCTTCTTGTTCAGGTTTCCACTCCATTTTCATAATAATTCCACAAAACGGTTCTAAAATCACTCGGTCCCGTAAAGATCAACCATGCCAAAATTTTCCAGTTGCCAGTTGAAAAAAAAAGGGTGCCTATTCCTAAAAGTCATTGATTGATTTTGTCACATTGAAATTTTATTTAATTATAAACATATCTTTGATATCATCCTTGGAAAGTCCTAATCGCTAGAAAAGATCTCGATAGCGTATTAGATGGCTTTTTGCCACTCTTATTTTCTTATTACAACGTAATATTTTTTATGAATTTCTAAAACCGGTTGACTATGCGGTATGTCGATATGTATAGATAGAGATGGGTTTCCACCCGGGTAAAAACCCACATGAGGGTAAAAACCCAATAAAAACCCGTTTCATTCCACCCGTGGGTGTTTACACCGGGTGAAAACAAATAATTTTATAATTATTTCAATTGGTATCTTTTCTTTATTTTTATTGAATTTTTCTCATTTAAGTTTATTGATTAATACTATGTATAGAACGTCACCATGAAGCTACAGACAAAAATCTTAAAAAAAAAATCTTTTATAAATCTTTTTATCTTTAGCTTCATGAACGTCACTAATATTGTCCTTTGTCTATAGTTCCAAAATACTGAACTGTCCTATCGATGACATTGACAGCGGGGCGCCACCGTCAATACCGAATCGCTGGTTCCGATTTTTGCCATGTAGGAAACCATATAGTTGAACGATGGTAGCGCCCCCCTGTCATTGAGTTTGGCGGGACAGTTCAGCGTGGGTCATCTATATGCTCTGTTCGAGCTGTCACTGTCACTGTCAGAATCAAAATTTCAAAATACCATGCCATGCCAGCGCAAAGTGTGAGGTTATTGTGTTTATTTTAATTTATTTATTACTGACCCTAAAACACATTTGTCATCATGCCGAAAGTAAAAGCTGAGAAAAAGTCGCGGATCCATAATGAGGTCGCCAAACAAGGTACATTTAAAAGGAAAATCTACAAATTATGTGAAAGCAATTTGGTTTTAGATTTTATTTTTGTAACTTTTGAATCATTGGTTATAGGTATCCAGTTCAATAAGGATTTCGGTCAACATATCCTAAAGAATCCACTCATTATTACTTCTATGCTTGACAAAGCTGGTTTGAGGCCTACAGATGTTGCTCTTGAAATTGGTCCTGGTACTGGTAACATGACCATCAAGCTACTGGATAGAGTTAAAAAAGTTGTTGCGTGCGAAATAGATACAAGGTATATTCCTATAATTTCATGTTATTGATCTATATTTTTTCCTGGAAGTCTAAAAAAAGTTTACAGTCACTTTCACTGCTTTCAGATTGGTGGCTGAGCTCCAAAAGCGTGTACAGGGTACTCCATACCAGGCTAAACTACAAATACTTGTAGGGGATGTGCTCAAAACTGAGCTGCCTTTCTTTGATATTTGTGTTGCAAACATACCATACCAGATCAGTTCTCCTTTAGTTTTTAAACTATTACTACATAGGCCTTTCTTCAGATGCGCTGTGGTCATGTTCCAGAAAGAATTTGCGCAGCGCTTAGTTGCCAAACCAGGAGATAAACTTTACTGTAGGTTGTCAATAAATACTCAATTATTGGCTCGTGTTGACATGTTGATGAAGGTAATCAAGTTAATTTCAGTAAACCTAATCAGTGCTTGAAGATAATGGACAATATTAATAACTACATTATTGTTACAGGTTGGCAAGAATAATTTCAGACCACCACCTAAAGTTGAATCCAGTGTAGTTAGAATTGAACCCAGAAATCCTCCACCACCTATTAATTTTGTTGAATGGGATGGCCTGACAAGAATAGCATTTGTAAGAAAAAATAAAACCCTATCTGCAGCTTTTAAGCATGCTACTACAATGGCAGTATTGGAGAAAAATTACAGAGTTCACTGTTCCCTGCATAATAAGGTAAAAAATATACCTATGTACTGTGATTAACCTATTAAAAAATACACTATCCATAATTAATTTTACAAATGAATTGGTTTTAGGAAATACCTGAAGATTTTGACATAAAACAGAAAGTACAAGAAATTCTAACAAATGCAGAAGCCGATCAGATGAGAGCAAGAACTATGGATGTTGATGATTTTATGAAGTTGTTACATGCGTTTAATTCAGAGGGCATACATTTTGCATAATGTACTAAGGAAAAGTCTTTATTATAAATAAAATTTATTTACTAAACAATTTACATAATCTTTGTTGTATTACTGTAAGACACTGCAAGACATCTACTGACTTAGTGTAGTTACATGTGAATCGTTAATAACTAACATTCGTCACAATGTCTATCTAGATGGTAGCCTTTTTGAAACCTCTTTCAGCATAATCTGAATCATTACACTTCTCAGATTTGTATGGAAAACCTGGCTGGCCTGGGAGAACCATCGGCTTAGTTTTCAATACTCTCCAACCACCCTTTTTAGTCCAATCCTGTAAATAGTGTGATCCAATTAATAAATTGTGTAATTACTTGATGTTACAATACAACTAGGAGCACAGCTATTTATTGTTTTATACTTACATTTCCTTGGTATTTGAAGTAGTAATGAACTGAAAGGACGCCTAATGCAATAAGTCCAAGTTTCCCAGTGATATACCTGTAATTTATAGCTCTTTCTTTTCCCTGCAAAAAGGCAAATTTCAAACATTGTTATAATTATCCAATTCCATGGAAATACAAAGTATGTAGGTTATTATTATGTAATCATACCAAAACGGGCGTAAGTTTAGTATACAAAGTGTCCAAAGGGTAGCGGTAGAAACGGCGAATGGGATTGGTACGTTCTCTCCAGTACTCTTCAACGTGTACGGGCTCGTTAGAGGCCAAAACTTGATCTTGCAACCACTGCTTACGCCAAGCCCTTTCGGCATCAGTCATGCCAATGCACCGTTCTCTTTCAATTGCCACACGACCAGCAATGGCCATGGGCTTTACACCCGCTGTTTGAGCCATATTGAGAATAAATCTCTGTTATTATTGTAAGCGAATATCACAAATGTAAAGCAAAGCGAGATCCATTCACACTGCTGTTTTTGACAGGTTTGATTTGATGACATTTGACTTTTTCTCACTTTTTGCGTGATTATAACAAAGACATAAAGTTAATTCTGCTTTGAATTAAACAATATTATAAAAACCGGTTATTTCGTAAGGAGTGAAACTATCACGTCACTTTTTTTAATAAAATTTGTCTAGGGGACAGACAACAATGTCGCAAAACCACTTTGCATTTTATATCCCCAAGCCCAAGAGTACAAGAAAATAAGTAAGATAGAAAGAGAGGGGAGGACATGACATGACCACCATGATGCTATCACGTAAAAGTCTACTCCAGTTTCCTTTTTTCTCTAAGTATCAGAATAAACTGAAAGATGTATCCAGAGCCCCGATTACGGTAACTTTTAACGTCAACAATCCAGACACGCTTCTCGATTCTGCGATACGATTGGTCGTTCAACAGCGTACGTCAGCTGTTTTGACCAATCGTATCGCACAATCGAGAAGCGTGTCTGGATTGTTGACGTTAAAAGTTACCGTAATCGGGGCTCAGACCTGTGATCCAGACGTAAACTTAAAAAAAAAAAACGATTTCCGGTGTTCCCCTGACAAGTGACAGACGTCAAAGGGAAACGTCAAATTATTTCCGAAAGGTTTTGTGCAGCTTTGGTTGGTGCATTTTGATAATAATTTGTAGATTTTATTTAACAATCAGTGTATCCATTTTGGAATTTACCTGTGTGTATACGTAACTGATTTTTTTGCAGTAATACGGGTCAGGAATTAAGTCACTTTAACAAATCCAAAATGCCTCGATTTCACAAAGTAGAAATCAACAAAACGGAATGGATCGTGCCAGAACGGTACCAAATGCTAACGCCTGTGGGTTCCGGTGCTTACGGTCAGGTTTGGTATGTATTGTTTGTGGAAGTGCCTTAGGCGCAGTGCCAAAGTTTATTTTTATTTGTTAGAAGTTATTAAAAATGTTGCAATGTCTCATAGATTTCGGTACGTTGCCCTTGCGTAGGCGGAACTGGTTTTCTTGTTGGTCTATAATACATACTTTATTTGCAGTTCTGCATTTGATACCTTGCATAGCATGAAAGTTGCCATCAAGAAGTTGGCAAGACCCTTTCAATCAGCTGTACATGCTAAAAGGACTTACCGTGAGCTTCGTATGCTTAAACATATGAACCATGAGAATATTATTGGTAAGAAATTCCTTAAAAATATTGTAAACAAATATATAATTTTTAGGCTCTTGGATTTTTTTCTGACATTTGCATTCTGGGTTTGCAGGTCTTCTTGATGTATTTAGCCCAGAGAAGACCTTAGAAGAATTCCAGCAAGTTTACTTGGTGACCCATTTGATGGGAGCCGATTTAAACAATATAATTCGAACACAAAAACTTTCTGATGATCATGTACAGTTTTTGGTTTATCAAATATTACGTGGCTTAAAGTATATCCATTCTGCTGGAATCATTCATCGGGTAAGCAGCATACATTGTATTTTTAAATTATAGGCTATTATAAGTTCTGAACTTTTAAAAATCCGTTTTTCTGACAGGGATTATTATGAGTATTATTCCAGTTTGTAACTATGTGATATTCTAACAGGATTTGAAACCTTCAAACATAGCAGTCAATGAAGATTGTGAACTGAGAATCTTAGATTTTGGTCTAGCACGTCCTACAGAAACTGAAATGACTGGATATGTTGCTACCAGGTATGATATTTAAAATTTAAATTATAACTAAACTAAATTAAATTAACTGAGATGAAAAGTTTAATATTAGTTGCATCAACTTTGTAGATGGTATAGAGCCCCTGAGATAATGTTGAACTGGATGCACTACAATCAGACGGTAGACATCTGGTCCGTTGGCTGCATCATGGCTGAGCTGCTGACTGGCAGGACTCTGTTTCCTGGTTCTGACCGTATCCTTTTTACACATAACATACAACATTTTACACAAATTTTATATCAGGATCTACAAGTTTATTTTATGTTGTGATATTATATACATTTGGTTTCTGGGGTTACTTATAAAAGTGAAAATATTGGGCCCTTTTGAATGGGGGAAAGTGTTCTAGTTGAACTGTGTTATTATAAAAACTAATCTTAAGTTGTATTTCATGACTACTAGTCATATTACTTACAAAGTCATTAACTTCAGTATGTGCCAGTCATTATTGCAAGGTTACTTGCATAATTACTGCTGAAGCATTGTTTTTGAGAATCTGTAGTTTTATAGATAACCCCTTGATTTTTATTTGCTTTTCAACCTTAATGGACAAGACAGATATCCATCAATTGAATTTAATCATGGAGGTACTTGGAACACCAAGTCAGGAGTTCATGCAGAAAATATCTTCGGAGTCTGTAAGTAGACTTCTATATTATGGGACAATTGTGCTTATTAAATGGAGAAATACCAGTTAAAACCAATAAAATTTACTTCAATAGGTTTAGACAGTCACTATAGCAGACATAACATAGCTTTGATTAACTCGCTTTAATTGATGTGGTTTTGTCTTGTCAAACATGTGGCTTGTGTAAGTTTTGGTGCTTGTTAACCTTAACATTTGTGCGCCAGATATTGATCATCTTACAAGGATTTTATTTTTGTGCGGAAAACCTGACCAAGAAACTATCGATAAAATAATTAGTGAAGAGGTAAGAGAACTAACAATTATTAAACTAGCTTATTAATGAATTAATGCTGGTTGTACATACAGTCACTGCTATAATGACAATATTTTTAGGCTAAGCTCAAAGTACAACTCCTTTTTTTGAAATCTTGAATAGAGTGAAGTAAATAGATTCAAATCTACAGTGAATATTACATTTGAAAATAAAAAAAATACACTTTATTACATTGATGTCTGGCTCAGAATAGATTTACATAACAACCTATGAATTAATACTATGAGGGATCATTGTGAGCTAGAACAGTTGGTATGTGTCTTTGTCATTGTACTTGTCCATTTGCATATTTTTTGTTATGTACTTGTGTAGACGAGATATATATTTAGTGTATTGTGAAATCAATCTTTCCTTTGGTTTTGGATTGGATTATGATAAATGTTGAATTTTTTCTGTTATTTATTGTAAAACAAATGGCGTTAGGTGGGTTTGATTGGAGGCCAAACTAGATCCTGACTACATACAGGAGTTGTAGTAGTGGGAACAAGAGGTAGGATTAGTATAATGGAGGTCAGTCTCCTCTTCCAATTTATCAATCATTGATTTAGGTGATTCTTCATTTGCTTTTGGTTAATTAGAGAGTCCCTCCTGTAGTGGACACAAATGTCCTGAGAGCTTAGTGCGAGTTTACATGAAACGTCGTCACTAGCGAGCGCGTTAAAAATACCTAAGATATTATGATCTTGAAAGTTTCCGCTAGATGCGCTGTACAATCCGTTGTACATTGTCACTTTGTTACGCAGTCGACGTCGAATGCGTTTGACGTAAACTGACACTACGCTCCCTGATGATGACAATGATTTTGGTGTAAAGAAACGCTATTCATTGTTGGTTGGCTGCAGGCGCGGAACTACATCCAGTCGCTGCCGACGCTGAAGCGGCGCGACTTCCGCGAGGTGTTCCGCGGCGCCAACCCGCTCGCCGTCAACCTGCTGGAGCTTATGCTGGAGCTCGACGCTGACAAGTCAGTATACATACACACTTACCCCCTTACTAATAGTTGCACACTTGTTGAACACTGTTTTAAAATGGCATTTCCATACTAAACGTCAATTTAAAACACTGTTCAACGAGCGTGTATGTTTTATTAGTAAGGGTGTTAGTCTTTATTGATAAACCAATTGAAAGATCTGACTAAATTGATAAGTGGTAATTTCCCTATTATCAACTTAGGACGAAATACAATAATTAATTAATTAACGGCGGAGCAAGCGCTTTTTAAGCTTGGCGTCTATTTGTGTCCTTATTCCCTGGACATAAAGTTCAAATACAGTGAAAAAACTTATTGTTTATGAATATTCTACAGGCGCATTACGGTGGAGCAAGCGCTTTTTAAGCTTGGCGTCTGTTTGTGTCCTTATTCCCTGGACATAAGGTTCAAATACAGTGACAAAACTTATTGTTTATGAATATTCTACAGGCGCAAGATGGCGGCGCAAGCTCTTTTTAAGCTTGGCGTCTGTGTCCTTATTCCCTGGACATAAGGTTCAAATACAGTGACAAAACTTAATGTTCATGAATATTCTACAGGCGCATAACGGCGGAGCAAGCGCTTTTTAAGCTTGGCGTATGTTTGCGTCCTTATTCCCTGGACATAAGGTTCAAATACAGTGACAAAACTTATTGTTTATGAATATTCTACAGGCGCAAAATGGCGGAGCAAGCGCTTTTTAAGCTTGGCGTCTGTGTCCTTATTCCCTGGACATAAGGTTCAAATACAGTGACAAAACTTATTGTTCATGAATATTCTACAGGCGCATAACGGCGGAGCAAGCGCTTTTTAAGCTTGGCGTATGTTTGTGTCCTTATTCCCCGCACTTAAGGTTTAAATACAGTGACAAAACTTATTGTTTATGAACATTCTACAGGCACAAGATGGCGGCGCAAGCTCTTTTTAAGCTTGGCGTCTGTGTCCTTATTCCCTGGACTTAAGGTTCAAATACAGTGACAAAACTTATAGTTCATGAATATTCTACAGGCGCATCACGGTGGAGCAAACGCTTTTTAAGCTTGGCGTCTGTTTATGTCCTTATTCCCCGGACTTAAGGTTCAAATACAGTGACAAAACTTATTGTTTATGAATATTGTACAGGCGCATAACGGCGGAGCAAGCGCTTTTTAAGTTTGGCATATGTTTGCGTCCTTATTCCCTGGACATAAGGTTCAAATACAGTGACAAAACTTATTGTTCACGAATATTCTACAGGCGCAATGGAGGAGCAAGCGCTTTTTAAGCTTGGCGCATCATGTTTGCGTCCTTATTCCCTGGACTTAAGGTCCAAATACAGTAACTTTGAACTTACCGCATTTATAGGCGCATAACGGCGGAGCAAGCGCTCGCGCACGAGTACCTGGCGCAGTACGCGGACCCCACGGACGAGCCCGACTCCGTGCCCTACGACCAGAGCTTCGAGGACATGGACCTGCCCGTCGACAAGTGGAAGGGTAGCGCACACATATTTACTGTTTTTACTTAAATTTAGGCCCAGAACACACGGTGAAACGCAATAAGGGTTTTCGCGATTGAAAAATCCGCCAGATGGCAATAGCTACGTAGGCGTGAGGTCCAAATGCTGCATGATTAATTATTTTTGAAATGACATTGACAAATATGTCAAAATCCACCAATCACGCAGCATTTGGACCTCGCGTCTACGTATTGCCATCTGGCGGATTTTTCAATCGCAAAAACCCTCATTGCGTTTTTCCGTGTGTTCTGGGCCTTATCGTTCGTTTCAGCCAAGTGACGTCCACTGCTGGATAAAAGCCTCCCCCAAGGTTTTAAAGGTCGCTGCCCGCATCCAGGCTCTTCCCGCGACCCTTACCAGATCGTCGGTCCACCTAGTAGGAGGCCTGCCCACGCTAAGTCTTCCAGACCGTGGTCGCCACTCGAGAACTTTTCTGCCATCGTCTCTACGTGCTATGTGCCCCGCCCACTGCCACTTGATTTTAGCAATTCTGCGAGGTATGTCGATCACCTTGGTTCTCCTGCGGATCCGGTTGGCTGAACGATCTTAAACTTGTATCTTTTTGCTTCATCAGCTTGACTATAGTGAGTCGCACCAGCGCGGCGCGGCGGCTATTCACGACAACTTTATTCGAAGTTTCGAATTTTTCTGTACCTATCACGCTAAGCGAAATGCCAGCATGCTTGCCAAAGTGATACACCAGAAACAGAGAGCAGAAATAACAGGAGTGGAACTGACAGGCAATCCCCTCTAGCAATGTAAGTAGACCAGTGGTTCAGTCAGTTTATAAAAACTAGTTGCAGCGCCACCAATGACATATTCCAAATGTCACTATTGAAGAGTAACGTGCTGCGATAAAAATGGTGAATTGCAGTGTTTTTAATTGTAAGAAGAGATCTGAAACATCAAATCTTGAAAAGGACAACATTACATTTGATCGGTAAATATTATTTTATTTATTTCACATTAATTAATACACTAAATTTGCAAAAAACTAAATTTCTAGAAGTGTTGCGACTGGAATGACTGGAAAGCAAAAATTCCTAATTGTGTAATATTTTAAGGATAGTGTACTTATAACAATATAATCGAAATTCTATGCAAACAATTTGATACTGCCAATAGGTGTTCTCTTTTATGATATTTGTTAGTATTAACTCAGAAAAACTAAATAACAGGTAGGTATTGCGTGTACATCGAAATGATCTTCATAGCAATGTCTTGTAGCCTAGGGAGAGTGAATCTGCCTCAGCTATACCTTATTGTTAGAAGTAAATAAATTAATACTTATACATTTTTATATTTTACTTGGAAGAAGATATGACTCTAACAACACTTATGAACACTTTATTTGAATAAATCGCCAAATATACCACCGCGGAGACCCCAAACGCGTCTCTGCGTTCCATTGAATCGTATGAGCGTATGGATTTTTTGCGTTATTTTTCACAATTTCTATTTTTAAAAATTACCTATCGATAGCTTACTTTATTCTGATGAATAAATGTCATTACAAGTTTTTCTCTAAAACTGATAGTTTGGCTAGAAAAAAATATTTTCTATCCACGCAGTACGCCGGCAGCGTTCGGATCGGATATAATGACGTCATCGTCCCCGCGCCGGGCGGTCAGTGAACTTTTTTAGTAATTTGGCCATAACTTCGTCAATTTTTGTCGTAGAACAAAAATTTTTGGACTGTGTATTAAGGATTTCTTAGCCCTATAAATCTGCATTCACAGCTAAAAATCGAAATGATCCTCATTTCCCTATTATCAACTTAGGACGAAATACAATAATTAATTAATTAACGGCGGAGCAAGCGCTTTTTAAGCTTGGCGTCTGTTTATGTCCTTATTCCCCGGACTTAAGGTTCAAATACAGTGACAAAACTTATTATGTATGAATATTCTACAGGCGCAAATGGCGGAGCAAGCTCTTTTTAAGCATGGCGTCTATTTGTGTCCTTATTCCCGGGACATAAGGTTCAAATACAGTGACAAAACTTATTGTTTATGAATATTCTACAGACGCATAACGGCGGAGCAAGCGCTTTATAAGCTTGGCGTCTATCTCCTTATTCCCTGTAATAAATACAAATACAGTAACTTTGAACTTACCGCATTTATAGGCGCATAACGGCGGAGCAGGCGCTCGCGCACGAGTACCTGGCGCAGTACGCGGACCCCACGGACGAGCCCGACTCCGTGCCCTACGACCAGAGCTTCGAGGACATGGACCTGCCCGTCGACAAGTGGAAGGGTGAGCGCACACATATTATTTACTGTTTTTACTTAAACTTATATCTTTACAGCTCGACTATTAATAGCGAGTCGCACCAGCGCGGCGCGGCGGCTATTCACGACAACTTTATTCGAAGTTTCGAATTTTTCTGTACCTATCACGCTAAGCGAAATGCCAGCATGCTTGCCAAAGTGATACACCAGAAACATCTACTTTACAGTAGATAGATATCTAAAAAGGAAGACTGTCTACTTGTGCTACTTCATCTTCACAGCAGTCGGTGTGTTTTAATCTTCTTGATTTCGCACTATGATTTTCATTTGCATCCATACCATATTCAGTATTCTTGTATTTTATTCAAGCCTACAAAAAGTAACTAACTGGACCGTTTTCAAGTTGAGTCAAACTCGTCCGAAAAGAAATAACTTCGAGAAGCATGTCATATGTGCTATTTCTTGGATATTCCTTGCGCCCCCGCCCATAGACAAATGAGCGTATTTACAAAGATAGCTTTTTTAAACTACGATTCTCTTGTTTCCAGAACTTGTATGGAAGGAAGTTGTTGAATTCAAGCCTCATCCTCAGCACATGAACACTGTAGTAGAAGTCAACCAGTCGTAATTTCAAAATGTATTCGTCGAGTATTTTGTTTGTGTATTATTATGCTTATTTTAAAACGGACCTATCAGTAAATCGGCGCATATTTTTTCTATCTGCACATTTCAAAATACAGTACACCCCAAACTTCAAAAGTTATTTACGTAAAGTGTAGACACGATACGTAATATTTAATGGGGGTTTCTTTAGAAACATTGCTGGTCAGTGTTTTTTATTTGGTCGTGAAATCTTTGTGCCGATTTATTCTAAGGTCCGATGGAGTGCTGATCCCTTACCATAATACAATTACCTGACTAAGAAAATCAATCATAATTATTATACATACATATTGTCATTTTATACCGTAACGACAGTCAATGTAAAATTTTATAAACAGTTTTATTTTGTACAAATTAATGACCAATAGATGATAAAAATTACTGTGCGTCATATTGTGCTTCACTTCAGGATTTGAAATAAAATAACACAAAGTGTTACATCAGACGCAGACCACCGATTTTTAGTTGGCCGATAGTTGGGCCCGATTTTAATTTGTATAAAGAATCGGCCAAATCAAATCGGTGTAATGTACGCATTTCCATACATGCCCATACTAATCAACTGCCCGACTAAACTATCGGCCGACGAAAAATCGATGATCTGCGCCTAGGCTTAAATTGTGCTGGTGCTAAAATTAATAATTTGCTACGTTTGCTTGTAAAAATTATATGAACTTTATTTTTTTACTGCCCATACAGGGTTTTTAATCGCCAAGGGAAATAATAATTGAGGCGTCTAGTTTCAAATCCCGCTAAAACGATTTTGATAAGATTTCGAGAAATTGAAAAAAACCGCTTATCCATATAGCTTTGGCCTTAGGCAAAAAAATATATGATACGAATTATTATTGTCATCTGGCAATACTAACAGTAATTGCTATTTATCTTTAAATTAAATATGATTTGAATTATAATGAAAACTATTTTCATTTTGGCGTATTTTGTTACGAACATTCGGTTTTAATGGGATTTGAAACGGACATGTTGTATTTTAGCGGGATTTGATAAGAGCAAATTATGAAGCAAGCACGTTATGAAAAAATCTCCATACTGATTTCGCAGTCACGTGACCAAAATACCGTGCTACCATTGGTCAATCAACTTTTAGAGGGTTTTGAAAGAAACGGACGGCGTTTTAGCGGAGTTTGTAACACAAAGTGAATTTTAAGTGCTAGTTTAGTAGTCTTTTAGTGTATTTTGATCGAAAATAATTGAACAGTATGATGAGAAAATTGCAGTAGCATCATTTAGAGATATAAACAGAAATTAGTTGCAGGAGCGTTTTAGCGGGTTTTGAAACTAGACGACTCAATTATGTGTTACGAGAGTATGTAGTAGAAAAGTTAATAATATTTACTTACGTAGATTTATTTAACGTAGTAATAGCGTGCATAACAATGGCTATAATCCTTTATTGTATTTTTAGTTTTAAGGAGCATATTTTTAGTAATTGAAAGGGTTTAATTTATATATTAATGATCTTGGAATTAAATGTATTTGCAAATTTGTACCATCACTAAGTTAAGCATAGGTATAAACGCCTAAAATATTTCCCTGTATGGGTGCGAGTATAAATGCACAATATAGGCGATACCGTAATATTTCAAGGAAGTCAATTACCTAAACGTACGAAAAATAATCAATTTGCAAAGAGTTTATATATTTGCTCAGATTTTACTTTCATATTGTCTATTAATATAATAAAGCAGTAGTATCTAGTATGTAAGAATAAAGAATATTTTATCATGTACAGATTAGGATAGTATTAACAACACACAGGAACTTTAAGAAATCATCAATGCCATTTCATTCACGTCTACACTGAAAATAATAATCCGTTTTGTTCTGTATTTTCTTCAAACGTAGGTACGCTGTACGAAATTGTTGCTTACTGGCCGTACCCATCGCCGAAACTTTTACCCATTGGTGGCACTTCGAATGACCGCAGTGTCAAAATATATGCATAATAAAATAAAAAAATCAATGTTCTTAGTAATCTAAACAATTGGATGAAATATATTGTATAGCCGCGTATGTTTAGCTTGATGTAATGTTAATACCTTGAACAGTTGGACTTCGTACATAATGAAATCCTGCACTTACCAAGTACCTACCTAAACATCATGTAAAAATCCCTTTTCGAATCGGCCAAGAATTCTTTTACATTCATTATTCTCACAACTGTTTCTTTTATAGTAGGTTTATTTTTAGTTTAAAACTTAAAAGTACTTGCTTCAGGATAAAATATGTATTATAAAAGCTTGAACATTTTATGATCCATTAACATACATAGATATATTTTTACGTATTATTCCAAAGTGAGTAGTACTGTTCACTTTGAGTGGGTATCTTAGTTATGGTGGTATGTATAGTATCCGTGAAATGTTTTGGGGCGTCCACATTCATGTATGGCTTGATTTTTGCAGTGAGCTTTTTCTAGTCCATACCATAGTGATATAGAAAAACATTTTATGATATTGAGTCTTCCCACTTGTTTTACATAAAATATATTTCGCGGAGCAGTCTTTGCGCCTTTAGTGACAGATTGTATTTGATTAACTAAGTTACCCCGTAAGATTACCAAAATGTCATTCGTACTAAAGAAAGTTAGATAGCTGTTACATAAATAAAATTAAATATGTTACCTTGACGTCCCTTATGTATTACATATTTTAAGTACCCCAAAATAATTATAAGTCGACGGAACACAATAAAGCAACGATAAAGCACCTTACTATCATTAAGAATTCTAAAGCAATTTGTTAGTTTGTACCGTAGACGTGCCTATTTTACTATAATGTATAGTTATTGATTTTATAAATATTAGGATTGAAAAGATGCAATATATAGATTTACCCTATCCTTTCGTTTTATTTACAAACATTTTTCATCGATTACATAATATACCTAGTTATTGTATTTTTAAAGTTACATACCCAATGCACTACCTACATGCTCCCGTGATTCCTTGATCTAATGATTATAAGTTTAGAGTCAACTCAAGTGATCTGTCCAAGACTTGATTCCCAGGATAAATTATGTGGCATTTTCTTTAGTTTCCTCCAGTTACGTTAAGACACGACAAACATACATTCTATTGTATGCGGTATAAAGAAACTAGGTAACATTGCAACATAGGAGAATATGGTTTTATGTTACTTATGTAAGGAATAATAAAAAGACACTTGAATTTCAATCCACATGTTGTATTGTTCATTTTCAATTCTAGCGATATAAAACTTTATACCCGTATATCAAAACAAAATAACAATGGAAATTATGAAAATGTATAATCCGACAGGCCATTCATGGTAACACTCGTATGCACTTGTTTCAATAAAGATATCACTTCAATCAAGCTTGCATTCTCTTGATTCAACTTAAGTAGATTAATTTTATAATGCCAATGTTTTTTTGTTCAGTTTAGCAAATCAAATGGCGTTCATAATACAGGATCATTTTTGTGATTTAAGTAATGATTACCGAAACACCCACGTCGCATGTTGCCACTGCACACCTGCACAAAACGGGCGAGTTTCTCAAAGCGCAGACTGTGGTTGATATTCACAAGATATAAGCTAGAAAATAACTTTAATAAACAGTACATACAATATACACAACTATAGAATAACTCGTATCCGTAGTCATTACAATTAAAATCTTTTTACAGTAAAGCTAACGTTCGAATCGAACTCGATAACATTTATTGTGATGCAGAGTCGTGTCAAGAGATCATCATCGGTGGATCGGCTCGGCGCGTCTTCCGAGTCTTAAAACAAGTTTATAAATAATAAAATAAAATCGGGCAATCATACGGAGGCCTTCAATCTGTTTTCGTATTTATTGATCTTTGACACATTTCTGATATAATCATACATTACTATCACATGACGAGCCTCACAGCGACAGATAGGTCTTCTGGACCGTGAGGTTGAGGGGCAGGTCGTCGTCGGAGTCGGAGTCGCGCGCCACGCGGCTGGCGCCCGGCGCCGCGGGGCTGCCCGGCGCGCCCCCGCTCGGGCTCGAGCTCGCCTCGCCGTTCTTTTTTGTAGTATTATACATAACATTAACAACGCTCCTCAGTCTTTTGCTCTCGCGGCTCGGCCGGCGGCGCTTCCTGCTCTCGCTCGCCCTCCGCTTGCGGCCGCCGGCGCCGCTGCCGCTCGGGCCGGGCTCCGGCGCGGCGGGCTCCTCCGTGGGGGCCGGCGCCGGCTCGGTCCTCCTCGCGGCCTTCGCTCCCTTCCCCGAGTTGGGTTTGCGTTTCCCGGCCTTGTCCTTCTCCGGCCTCGCCGCCTGCCGGTCCCGGCGCGGTCGCGACTTGCGCGACTTGCTCCTCCTCTCGGCGCTCGAGGGATCGACGTCTCGTTTCCGTTTTAATCTTTTACTCCGCGGCGCCCTCCTCTTCCGGTCCTCCTCGCTGGACGAGGAGGGGGTGTCGGTGTCGATGAACAGGGACGGCGAGGAGGAGGCGGAGGACACGCACGACGCGTACGACGAGCTCGAGCTGGAGCTGGAGCTGTCGCGCGGCGACGACGCGGGTTCGGGCTCGGACGCGGGCGCGGGCGGCGCGGCGGGCTCGGGCGTGCTGCGGCAGGTGTCGGAGGTGGTGGCGGAGCCGGAGCGCGGGCGGCGGCGGCGGCGCGGCGGCGGCGTGTAGCTGCTGTCGTCGCTGTCGGAGTCCGGCGGCGCGTCCATGGCGTGCCGCTTCAGTATGAGCTTGACGAGCGGCGCCTGGCGCGCCTCCTGCGCCTCGGACGTCTGCGGCTGCGGCTCCGCGGGCGCGTCCTGCACGATGACGTCGCTGTCGGAGCCGAGCAGGTCGACGACCTCGGGCGTGCGGTCCTGCGGCGGCTTGATGTACCCGACGACCATCACCTCGTCGTCGTCGTCGGTGTCCGACTGCGATATCGTCTCGATGGGGATGACGTTGTTGGCGGCGGGCTGGGGAATGTAGTTCTGCGGGTACACCGGCGCGGGCGGGCGGGACGGGCCCGGCGGCGGGTCGGCGGGCCCCGAGCTGGACACCATCACGATGTCCGAGTCGACGCTGGCCTCCGACTCGGAGCTCGATATCACCTCGTTGACCATCGTGGATATCCTGGTGTCCGTCGTGTACTGGACGTTGCGGTCGTAGCCGGTCATGTCGTACGGAGTCGAAGCGAAGCAGTAGAGTTCGTGAAGGAAGTGCTCGGTCCGGTCGCGGAAGTAGACCTGCATGGCCTCCCTGAACTCGGTCGAGTTGACGTGGTACTGGGGCAGGAGCTCCAGAATCCGTGCGATCACGTAGGATATATGGCCGATGTTTTCGTTCAGGAGATAGTGGAGTTCCCTGTTGAGCCACGGCACCAAGCGGTGCATCTGCGAGTCGTTGTACCTAAAGACAAAGAGCGAGCGGTGGTGAGGTGCGCTTCGGAGACGTATCACGTGCGCAGTGTGAGGGTAGTTAATAAATCTTTGGACAATTTTACACAGCGCCAGCTAGCCCCAAATTAAGCAACTCAATCTTTGGACAATTTTACACAGCGCCAGCTAGCCCCAAAGTAAGCAACTCAATGCTTGTGTTATGGGTGCTAGCTTAACGGAAATACTACTTATATACTTTTTTTTTTAATTTAATACATACATATTATACATATTTCCACCCAGACCCGTCACAGAAATTAAAATTCATCATTTCAATTTCTGCCCGGCCGGGAATCGAACCCGGGACCTCTCGGCATAGTAGTCCGTTCTGAACCACTACACCAAACGGCCGACTAGCAATGATATTATATAAAAACAAAAGCAGATATGTTATAAGCGCTCGCGCTGTGAATACTCAAATACGTCCCAATTGGGACGTCTTGTGTTTAGTCTTCGTGTGGCCTGCGTCGTGCGCAATCGCGTGCGTACCACACCGTAAGTTCCTGTGTTCTCACCAAAATAAATAAAAAATGCCATCGTGTGTGTTTCGAAAGTGTACCAATTATGACTCTAAAGTAAACAAAATACAAGGGATCTCTTACCACATGTGATTATGCAAAATTATTTAGTATTTATATTTTCAATTATTTATGCAAACAATCAAGACGCCATGCGCCATGTTCAAGTTAAGAAAGAGAAAGCGATCTTGTTTTGACGTTAGAGCGATAAGGATGCGTGCGCTGCGGACATAGATTAGTTAGTGCAGAATCGTTAAAACTATAGCTATCTCTTTCATTTGCGTGTTATTTCGTATCTTTTGTTTCACTTATCAGTTACATTTGTCAATGTGTGCAATTTGGAATAGCTCGGCACGGATTCAAATCGTAATTTCTATGAACGTAACATATCTATAGTTCTTTAATATCATTGCCGACTAGCCAGTAGTTGGCAGTTACCTGTAGAACTCGGGCGAGCAGTCGCGGAAGCGGCCGGTGAAGTCGGGCAGCGGGCGCGCCCAGAGGTTGTGGCGGTAGACGGTGCGGCGGAAGGCGGCGGGCGAGCGGCGGCGGCGCGCGGGCAGCGTGCGGGGCGCGGGCGGCGGGAACACGTCCGCCATGATGGGGTAGTGCTGCAGCAGCAGCTGCTGGATCGCGATCGTCTCGCGCCGCGGCAGCGTGAGCGTCGTCCTGCCCGAAGACAAACATGAGTGTCATTTATCTACACCGGTCATCACCAAAATCGACCCTCCCGTGACAAGCACTTTCAAACGTATGCATCCCCACTTCCCACCAATATTGGCACGATTTAAAAGCCTCGTTCTACTACTTTATTTCATTAAAGGAAAGGTTTTTACCCCAAAAATGTGTCTGTAGAAGAATCCAGAGTCACTTCTTCAAAAAATAGGTAGTTACACTTGAGCCAACTTTTATGGCTATAAAACTGTTAAGTTAGGATTAATCGCTATCCATCTGTTAAAGAGGAGACGTGAGATCATTATTTGGTTTTAAAACTATAAAAATTGGTCTAATTGATCCCAGAGGTGAGCCCAAAGTGAGGTCTTTTTTTAAGTCACATTTATTGTATATCGCGTATCTTAATCGTTTATTAAGAAATCAAATGTGTTTTTCTTTAAGGATATTTATTATTGGGCTTTCAAATAACACCAATATTGTTGGGGCACCATGATTGTGTCAGTAGAAACGAGTTTTCCTGTAAAACGTAGTTGGGCCGATTTTTGTGATGACCAGTATATTTAGAAACTCAACAGCTGTTTTACAATTTTTATGTGCCTCCTGCGCCTCGGAGGTCTGTGGCTGCGGCTCAATTAATCGATCGATTACAATTTTTGTGTTAGTTTGAGGAGCATTAAAGAGTTTCTTAGCTGCTTAACACTTTCCTGGACAGTGAACTGCTATTATAGCCGTCATAACAATTAAACTTCTATTGTGTCTGGGTTACTGTCCAGAAAAGTGTTAAATAAGTTTGTACATATTACATTTATCAGGTAATGACCATTTACGCTATGTCTATGCAATTTGACTTTTGAACCCAGTTAAGCCCTACCTTGGTTGGTGGCTAATAATGGTCAATAATAAGGTCCTATTCGGCTAGGATGCGTGAAATGGTAAAATGTTAATGACTCATCATTCGATCCGCAATAAAGTAATTCTTATTCCATGTATCCAAAATCAAATTTATCCTCCGCCTACATTTAGCGTCCTTGGCCTACAGGACTAGCAAGCAGTGCAAGAAACGGGTACACAGGTATACATTAAAATTCAACTATGTATTTAGAACATACTCATTTCTAAGCTAAAGAATACATATAAATAAGATTTTTAATTCACATTAGATTTAAAAAATAAATAAAGTTGAGTACCTGTATCTAAATCTTCGAGTGCTTGCAGTGAGACTTTCAAAGTCGAGTCTTTCAAGCGCCTCTTCAGTTTGACGCTGTTCCACCATGTACTCTTCATACTGATGGTTGGAACGTACATTGTGTATAATAGACCTGAAGTTTTGTTTGCAAAGTGGACACTCAGCCTTTACCTGTAAAATGTAATTGTAATGTAATTACTTAATAATTCTAAAATATTGTAATTGTGGCTGATCACAGCTTGAACATCAGACTACAAGGGCCAGAGTGGCCAAAAGACAAATCAACTGGATTGTAAATCCCTTAGGATGTCACCTGACAGCCATGTCACATTGGCTCTCTATTATGGACGAGGAAAATGCAAGGAGGTGCAGTTTGATTGGGTTGTATAATGAAACTCTTGAAAATAGTACACACAAGTGTATAATTATTGTAAGTTAAAACTTAAATGCAAAATGTTTTGTAATTACTTTCGCCACATTGGTTCTAATTATTTTGTTGCTCATGACAATCTAAAAATTAAAATACATGCTTTACATTTGTAATTATTTAACCAGATATTAGGTATTCCCATTCATAATCTTCTGAGAAATACAACTAAGCAAGGTTGTCACTGGCAAAAAGTATGATATATCCTCTTGGCTATGTATCAAGTGAGGAATGGTATTTTCAAGTGATTTCAAAGTATTGATTTTAAGTTATGGACGCCTACAATATGGATTGCCCTATCACATTGAAAATTATTAATTTAGTAGGCGAAACAAAATGAATGAATTTTGTCCTTACCCTGCTCCATGTTAAAAGGCATTTAAAGCAGAATTGATGAAGACAGGAATCTGTGAATGATTTATTTCTGCAAGTGCCCAGACAAATGGCACAGTTGGGGGGCGGGGAGCCTCTGCCACTTTCATGCCGTGGACTGCTGTCATCACTCTTAACACTTGCACTGCTGGGATTTGCTCCAGAGCTGTCATCTTGCATTGGAGTTGATACTGTTTCCATGTTTGATATCTATAATTAATGAAAAGTAAATTTTATTAATGCTTGCAATTGCTTTATGAGAATCTTTGTTTCTGAAAAACATTCATTGCTATTTGTATAAAAAAAAACGTTGAAAAGTACGTCACTATAGAAGAGCCTATAGATCAATACAAGATTTTTAGACGAAGTACGTAGAATGTTTTCAGTGGGACAGCTGACTTTTATGCGTGGGAATTAATCAATAGATTAATGGGATGAACGTCAATATATCTGAAAACCTGAACTTACCTTAGCTCCGAAGATGCGGGATAAAATGATATCAATCAAGGCATAGCTATTTTTTTATTGTCAATGTGCGTGATCTTGACAGATTTCCCTAGAACCTGTGACGTGATGAGTGTAACCGTAAAAATGTTTTAGCTATTCACATGCAATTGATAATACAACTAGACGGGCGAAGTAACACCATTGTAACCAAATGATACTATAAGTTACCAGAACCAAATTGATAAAAATGCGAGAATTGAAAAAGAATAATCCACCGAACAAACAACCAAACACATTAATGGTTACAGAGTAGGTAACGTCCAACAAAAAACATTGATCAGCAGCTGCTGTCACTGAGAAAAACTATTTAAAAAATATTGGCTTTTTAATTTTGTTTATGGATATAACGGCATTGGACGGACTCCATTTATGACATACCTAGTGTTGTGCTTATGAGGATTTTTTTTGTAAATCCATCTGGAGCAACCATCAGAGCCCCGATTACGGTAACTTTTAACGTTTACAATCCAGACACGCTTCTCGATTCTGCGATACGATTGGTCGTTCAACAGCGTACGTCAGCTGTTTCGACCAATCGTATCGCAGCGTTGATGAAGCGTGTCCGGATTGTAGACGTTAAAAGTTACCGTATAGTTCCAAAATACTGAACTGTCCTATGCATGACATTGACAGTGGGGCGCCACCGTCAATACCGGATCGCTAGCTAGCTCCGATTTTTGCCATGTTGGAAACCATATAGTTGAACGATGGTAGCGCCCCCCTGTCATTGAGTTTGGCGGGACAGTTCAGCGTGGGTCATCTATAATCGGGGCTCTGACTTTCAACGTGCCTGTTGATAAGTATGGTTAAACTTTATGGTCTGTCTATAATTTCTAGTCTTTGTTTTTTACGAGCAAAACAAACGAGATTGCGTTTCCACAAACTATAGAAAAAAAAGCCAATTTGTGCTCTGTGGTCCATTCATTTGACAGTGACAGCCAAACTGCCAAAGTGACAATAAAAAAACAGAATTGTCGAATTTGTAAAAAATTAAGTTGGTGTTATCTAACCAGTATTTTCAGCATGGGCTTGTTAAAAAAGGTAAATCATATACCTAAGTAAATGTTAATACACTATAACTACAAAATTACACAATCATAGAATGTACAATTTGTTAGTAACTAGCATAGCCCTTTGGATTTGGCTAATAAAAATATGCTGCAAATTAATCTTTGTAAAATTCAACGTTATTGTATTTTTTAGACAACAGGTCTCACGGGTTTGGCAGTGGCAGCTAACCCACATCACACTCTAGGTGCACTTTATGGCAAGATATTAAGAACTATTCAAAAAATGCCTGAGGCCTCAGTCTACCGCAAATACACTGAGCAAATAGTTCGCGAACGAGCTGCGATTCTGCAACAAGTAAGTGATTATTAGACTTAATTATTCCTCTTGTAATTTACTGCCTAAGTGTAAATTGAACCAATTTCATTATCTGTTGCTTGAAGTTATATCATTTCTCAATTTTATTGAGCCAATAATGTGATGTTTATTTCAGACCAAGGATGTGTATGAAATTGAACAAAAAATTAACTGTGGACAAGCTGAAGAATTAATCATCCAAGCTGAAAATGAATTGAACTTAGCTCGCAAAATGTTAAATTGGAAACCCTGGGAACCTTTGGTTGCAAAGCCCCCCAAAGGACAGTGGGACTGGCCTCCAGCACAGCCTTGAATTAATTGTAGTCTGTCAGTACCTACATTCAAAATATTGTTTACTTAATTCAATAACACTATTATTATTTAAAAACATTTATTTGTAGTTGAAATAAAAATCTTGAACTCATAATAACATTTTTATTATTTTCTGATAAGACTGCTTTTGTCCAATTAATTAAATTGACATCAATGCATTTATCATAATAAGTGCCTAGGTACTAGATTGTTGAATAATAAAGTTGTTATTCAAATAAAAAAATAATGCTTAATTTTGCTAATAATGTATGTACATATGCCAAAGTTGGAGCTTTTTACATTTCATTATGAATTGATCTTTCAATTTAAAAAAATAAAATACCAGAATAATAAGAAGTGTTTTTTTTTTAAATAAATACCTACAGATTACAATACTATTTAATAATCTAGTATTTATGTGTAGAAAAAATAATATACTTGCAGAATGCAAATAAAGAAATCTTGCAATTTAAATTATGTCATGGTCATCAAAACAGCACAATGTCATTTGAAGTAATAAATGCAATTCTGATTTTTTGTTCATAAACATAGTTTAACTTTTTAATAATAAAAAATATAGGTACAAGTCTGTCTGTAACCATTTTACTAGTCTTTGGCTCATATCTGCAGTAAGTACAAAATCTATTACTATTATGGTTACTACGTTTTTAGAGTGGAAATAGATTCAGTATTAGCATGGAAGGTCCATGAGTATTAGCATATATTTACTGTGTTGGAATGTGTATATTATATGTGGTATGTTCATAGATTAACATTGATAAGTATATAGCAGACCAAAATGGATATATTATTTTTATGTACTTTCATTATCTTACATCAGTTTTTACTAAATCTAATAATATTGAAAGTGAGTATTGATTTGAAATAATGGTTATTGTATTGTATCTCAATTCTTGGGAGTAAAATATAGTAAGTATAAAATAATGTCTCCATTAAGCAATTGAATGTCAACACTATTTGGCACATTGTATCTGGTTGTAAATTATTCACTAATCACTTAACACATCATAAATATATGAGTAACCAATTTATAAATTTCATCTCACAATGTAACATTTTATCACTGATAACATGTTTTAGATATTGCAAATACAAGCAATGATTTGTAAAAGAGTTTTGCATGTTACAAAATGATAATGGTAACTCATTTGTACAACAAAACTACAATACAAAGTTTGTGTTACACACCGTCTTTATCAGCAATAATTGTATAAACTTATGTTCTATATTGTGAATTTGTTAAAAGTATGGTGTTTTATATTTAAACTATTTTAACATACAAATTAAATTCCTAAAGTTAAAAAAATAAATAACAATATAAAATCACTTGTATAATACTTATAAATGGGGGATTTACTAAGAAAGGCAAATAAATCCCATATTATAACAATATCAATTTGCTGCTTAATTATATTATATTTAATTCTGTCATACATGAAAGATTTCATAAAAAGTAAGCTTATAAATACTGATAGTATAGCTATTTGCCTTGAATTGTAAATCCACCATATAATTGTCCCATCAGCTCTGAACCTAAAGTTTATAATTCCTGTTTTAATATTGTTATGTAGAGGTAACACCTTTTCTTGCTACTAATAAGTTAAGGACTGGGTGTTTTTTAATATAACTAACTGCTTTTTTGTGTGTTACCATGGTGAAGTCATATCCATTGCATTGTAGAATTTTGTCATGCATTCTCAACCCAGACTTAGCAGCAGGACTTCCCTCATGGACTTCAGTCACATAAATACCCTGGCAAAAAGGAAACAAATTTAGATTTTTAGCATACACTTCAGCTGCTTTTATAAAATTGGTAAGTATGTACTTATTTGTTAAATAAACCATGTTTCAAGTTAAATACTTACGTTATCAGTATATCCCTGGGGGCTTTTACGAAAATCTTGGTCAATACCACCGCCGATTTTAAATCCACATTTCATAACTTCTCGACCTTCTGCATCAACCCCTGCCTCTTTTTGGAGGGTTATTGGTATCTGTCGAATTAACACGTAGGCATGAGAAAAAAATGCTGGAGAAAGAAAATACCTACTAAGGGAGTGGTCTACAAACTTACACTAAGGCACTCCATCGCCGTTCCCGCCTGGTGCTGAAAAGCCATTTTCGCCATGATGAATAGATTTGTATGGTACAACTTCTGGAATATAATATAAAGCCACGTATTTTCAATTTAATAATCCTTTTAGCACAGTTCCAAACAATGCACAACAATCTTTCACGAATAAGATTGACCATAGAGAAAATGGTGAGTTTTTTTATGACGTATGGCGATTATAGAGACGCTTACTCAATATATCATCGACTATCGATGAAACCGATTTAGTTGTCCAACAACACTGACCGCTCTAGCTATGACATTATGACAAGAGGGCGCTTTTATAACATGAAGCGAAAGATTTTTTTATCAATATTAAGTTCCGATTTTTGCCACGTTGGACAACACTGGAAGGAGGGCGCTACTATCAATAGGGTTACTGGCGTCTTAATACGCTTCAGACGCTCCAGAATCATTTGATCTATCCTAGGTAAACTTTTATGCAAACATTTTTTTAAGTCAGAATTTTCCAGCTGTGAAAAACTAAAAAAAAAGTACGTTCCGTTCCAGTCCGGAACCAAAAAAAAAACAAAGTTGTCAATGTCATTCGTGTGTGTCATTCTGACATTAAATAATAATTACATCGTAAAAAAATTCGTATTTTAATTCCGTAATTTAATCGACTTTTTAAGCCATAAAATGTTTGTAAACAATTCATTATCAAATTAAATAATTACGTTTTTATAATGATATATTAAGATTTAATTTTTCTTCCAGATGTCCGGGGAATCTAGGCATGTATGGCGAATAGTATTCAGAAATTTTATTAACTCATTAAGACCTAGGCAAATCACAGGAAATAGCATGGGTAAAAGATTTTTTACTATAAAGTTTTCTCACAGACTACATTCAAATATTTTAGGTAAGAAAAAATTGAAAAAACTTGAATTTCTGGAACTGAATGATCATTTCATATTTTTTAGGTAAAGATTATTTAGGAAATGCATACTTTGAAATTCCTGCTGATCCCCAAAGAGGTAAAAGGAAACCGACTCGTTGGTATGATCCACCAAAGGGCCAAGATTTTCAGGATCCCATCCCAGCTGAATGGGAATCTTGGCTGAGATATAGGAGGCATGTATTATTAATATTCCTAAAAATTTAAATATCCCTTAAACTGCGGAATATAAAAACTGTCAATCTGAGGCAACATAATATGTCTGGCTACGCAGTCGAGGGTATATAGCAATTGAGAATATACAATAATACCTATATTTTGTTTATTAAAAATGCATTATTTTCATAGATCTGAACCTCCAACAGAAGAAGAAATAGCAAAGAATGTAGCAATAGCTGAACTTAAGAAAATCAATGCCTCAAAGATTGAAGAAAAGCGCTTGGCAGAGGGAGGCTCCTTGCCCACTCCAGTGGAACGCGGAGCGCAGTCATTTCCCACATACCCAGAATATCACACTGGTCATCCAGAGATTCACCCTAAAAATAAAGGCGACTAAGATAATATGAACACTGACCTCATTGTAATTAGTAAATGAAAGAAGTATTTCATTTGACCTCATTAACATTAGTTTGAGTTCTGTAGATAGGTACTTATAGATGAAATTATAAATGTTCATATTTTAAATTTCATTACTTTTTGGTTTGCTTTTTAGACTGATATCTGATACTAAGACAGTTATGCAATTGATTTGGTCACAATAATAAAAGTAAAGGTTTTAAAACCCCTAAAACATTATAATAATGAGAGATGTAACTGAACTATTGTGGCCTTTTTAAGAGTCCTAATCCCAGTAACATTGAGTTAATTATTTATTTGTACAAATGTAGTAGATAAATTATATTGTATTTGATGAAGCATGTCTACCATGTCTGTGCTGTGATAGTGTACTTAGTGAGTGAATATCAAATAATTATTTTTCATGATGTTATAAGAATTGTTTTATTTACTCACCACTGTGTTTAAATGATGAGAATATAAGACTTAATCATCACCTGTAAGACTTATGCCCTTATTCAACAAAACTTATCATAATTAAATCAACATAATTTGTCTGCAAGTCATAAAACATTGAAGGCAAATAGGCAGGTGGTAGTACTTGCCTGCATTTTTATTTTATTATACTAGCTGTGCCCGCGACTTCGTAGGCGTGAAAATGTTTTGACTTTTAATTAACTATTAACTAATATTTACTGTTTGCAAAATTTTTCTTTACTGCTCCGCCCCTATAGGCGGCAAAAATTTTTTTTTAATTCGGACCAATAGTTCCGGATATTAGCGCGTCCAAGCAAACGAACTCTTCAGCTTTGGGTATATTCTTAAACTAGCTTTCCGCCCGCGGCTTCGCCTGCGTGTAATTTTGTCTGTCACAGAAAAACTTTATCGCGCGCGTCCCTGTTTCAAAAATCGGGAAAAAACTATCTTATGTCCATTCTCGGGACTCAAACTCTATGACAAATTTCATCAAAATCAGTTCAGCGGTTTAGGCATGAAAGCAAGACAGACAGACAGTTACTTTCGCATTTATAATATTAGTATAGATATCTATACAAGATTGACAAGATTTCCCGAGGCAACTCATTAAGTAGTTACCTACTTTTAATTAATAATAATAATATTAAACCTGATATTGTGGTGGTTGACCGATCCCAACGTCGGGCAGTGCTCGTTGACATCACCATCCCGCATGACGAAAACCTCGTGAAGGCCGAGAAGGAAAAACAAAGCAAATACCTTGACTAGGCCCACGAGGTGACCGCCATGTGGGATGTTGACTCGACGATCATTGTCACGATAGTTGTCTCGGCAAACGGGCTAATAGCGAAGAGCTTCGACCAACATCTAAAGAAGCTCTCGCTAGATGGTTGGCTCAAGGGTCAGATTCAAAAGGCGGTGATCCTCAGCACGGCACGCATTGTTCCTAGGTTCCTCAGTCTGTGACCCTAACCACCGGTAGCTTGGGCCCTGCCCCGCTGCCAGCGGGTTAACTATTTTTAAGATTTTTGTTTTTATAATGTATTTTTATTTTTTGATTTTTACATTGTAAAGAGAAAAAATTAAAAATAAGAAAGAAAAATGAATAAAGAAATAATAATAAATAAACTTTATTTCTAAAATTGTTACACAATTTGAGTTTAACAGCGGCTCCTGCACTAGGCTCTCGCGGCCTGTATGACCTGTATCGCAGCAGCCAGTGAGTGATTAATAATTTACTTTCAATAATTATAGGTAAGTAGGTACTGTGAAAAAGCTCCGGTTCTATTATGATACAATAAAGTTTGAAGGTTTTAATAAAATTGTATTATTATTTTTTATTATAAACTAATTTAAATCAATTTCCCCGATGAAGCTGCGATTTCGCATCTACGCTGATCTTAGTAGATCCNCTGCGACAGATCCATCAATCGTTAATTTTCAGTAGTTAATCTAATTTAAAAAAACTTCAAGGTTTGCCCTTGAGGAGCCTTTACATTATCTCATAATCTTTTTGCCCTACTAAGTAGGTAGATAGTGCTCTTCGAGACAAACATTTTGATTACCTAGTTAAATAGTAGAAGAAGTGCGTCACAAGCACAGATATGGATAGATGCAGCATGTGTCAAAAATTGTATGAAGCCGAGCGTGCCACTTTTTAAACGTCATTAGTGTCATTTTAGCGAATTTTAGTGATTGCCGCAACGTAAAAGTAATCGTATCATCGTATTGCATAAAAAAATAAGAACGCGCCTTTAAAGTAACTTTTAACTGTTAAGATGGCTAAGTCATATAACCTATTGCGCACGTACCATTTCCTTTGATGAGGTCCGTGAACATACCCGATAGGCGATAGCGTGTATCCGAACGTTTGCGTAACGAACTTCATCATTTCAGCCATAGGACGTCCACTGCTGAACATAGGCCTCCCCCAATGCTTTCCATGTTGATCGATTGGTAGCGGCCTGCGTCCAGCGCTTCCTTGCTACCTTTACGATGTCGTCGGTCCACCTTGTAGGTGGGTGGTGGTGGTCCCACGCTGCGTTTTCGCGAACTGGTCAATGTCAAATTGACAACGTAAATGTTATCGCCGTCAAACGATATTTTGGTCTGCTTTATTTATCGACAGAATCGTTTTCAACTAGATGTTGTTATTTCTTTTGAAAAGTTGAAATCTTATACAAATTAGGTATGGAAAGTGGTAGTGATAACGAAAGTGCGTCAAATTCTATTGCGCCGCTAACGCCGATTAAAAAACGAAAAATAACAAATAGACTCCAAGTAAAATAAACCGGAGTGGGAAAGAGAGTATGACTGGATAACTGAAGATCCCCAAAATATACAGTGTGAGTCACGATAAAAAAAAAAAAAAGTGCACATATGAAAATATGTGAAACTAGACCTATTATTTTTCGAGAAAAAAGAGGTCAAAAATTTTTTGAGATTTTTTTTAAATTTTTTATAGAATTTTTTTTCTTCCAATTACTTCTCGTAAAGAAAACGTAATAACCTTTAAACTAAGAGGTATATCCTGATAAAATAAAAACAATAATAATGCTAAATAACAGGCGATACTAATAAAATACAAAAAAATTCTGCTTTTAAATTCGTGTTTTTTGGTTATTTGATCAACTTCTCCAAAAAATGCCCCTATAACAGGTGGTTTTTATTGGNAGATAATATTTTTTTAAATAGCAAATCATCCTATTTTATTTTAACAATATATTGTGTATTTACTGTGTACTATTGTATTTTATATGGTATGTATACTCATAATATTTTATTATCTACACTAATGTCATTGGTTAAAACTTTCGAAAATAATTGTAATATTTATTATATACGTTCTTTACATAATGTGACTGATATTTTTTTTTTTTTACATACTTTCTTTCAAATTAATGTGTCATTACTTAGTTTCTTATTTTTAAATTATATTCACGGAAATTGTATCAATATTAAAAAACATTGCAAACCTTGTAATTTATGGCATAAAAATTAAAAAACACGTTTGCATAATATATTTTTGGAAACATGAATTGTATAACATTTGAAATTTTAATAAATGTGTAATCCGTCACTTATTAATTAATAAAATTATATCAATGTATACGAAATAAAATCAGTATAAAATGTATAAACATAATAAATAAAAATGTGGATAGAACTTTACTAATTTTTAGCAAATTTTTTTTACCATTGTTTTTTAACTTACTTTATACTTATTAATTTTATTTCCTTTTCAAAGGGGGAAGTAATGTGCCGTATACACACATAAGTTTTCTATATATTAACTTCTATTTAAATAAGTTGTCATGTAAATTGAGTCAGTGTAATACAATTGATCGGAGCAATAAACATCGTTCAAACCACAAGTATCGTGTCGTCTCTCATTAATTACACTCACCCCGCGCATACTCGCGCACATGGTTTTTAACTTATCAGTATAAAAGGTCCAAGACTCAATGTGATTACTTGATGTGGAAACATTTTCCCGGATCCCTTTCTTTACGTCATTTAAAGATGATGGACCATTTGTACAATCAAATAGTTTATCTAACTGTTCAATCACAAATGCTGTATCATTGCAATCAGAAACTTCTTTCCATGCCATCATTTTTAAAATAGCTGCCACGGTATTACTCAGAGCATGCGCAGCATACTTCACCCTCATCTTAGTTTTGAATGTTGGATTTACAATGGTACTCTTCAGTTTTTTAAAATTTAAAAAATTTCTGTTGTGTTCTTCTGCAACTACCAAATGCCTCCATTGTGCAATTTTTCCATCGAAAGACATATTTCCACTTTTAAAGAAATTGTTTCGTAATGATTTGAACAAGTGAGGGATGTCATAGATTATAAAAATTTTGTCATTATTTACAGAGAAAAAGTTGCTATCTATGCCTTGTCCACAGTTTCTTTTTAACATGTTAAGAGCTCCTATATTTGTAGATCCCTGATCACAAACTGTTGTTAGAACCATAAATCCGATTTCTTTTAATTTTTTGATGATGTCCGATATAATTTTTGCCAGTTTTGCTGTTGATATTGTGCCTTCCACAAAATAGTGCGCAATATATTGTTTGTATTTATGTTTAGCACCCTGTATCATAAACACTAACGCATGGTCTGCAATTTTCTTTTCTCGTCCCATGTTCTCGCCCTCTCCATAATCCACGTAGCCATCCACTTTATCAGCAATTTCGTTATAAATTATCCGTTTCTTTAACGCCATCTCGTCAAATATTAACGAGCAATATTTATTTTCCTTTGGCATACTTGATGCTTTTGCCTCTAACATATCAATTATATTTTTATTTATACCAGGCTCCATTGGTATATTTTTTATAAACTAATTTTATTAAGAATTTTTATAGTATTGAGAATAAAACACCTTGGAAATTGGTGTTTTGGCAAGAAAAATTAAGTAAGTAATTAAGCGTAACATTAAAAACGAACACATAAAACAATCATTTGGTATGGAAATCTAAAAACAGTTTCTTGCATTTTTGCCCATCACAAAGCAAAGGCGCGTTTGAAACTTTATGCAGAACACCACTGTCTTTTTTTGACAATACCTGCAACGTTATAAGAGAAGCTAAAGCTAATATTTATATTAGAGAGAGATCACATCATTATCATTTCGATAGAGGGTGCAGGTGAATAGTTTGAGTTAGTAGAGGCACATTTATCAAGCATTTCAAAATCGGTATCAGATTTCTCACTTGCGTCTGAGGAAGCGGGTTCTAGGGACTAAAGCCAATATTCTTGAAGCACGCGCATGCCTCAGACAAATGAAAAACAAAAAAAAACACAAGAAAACACCCATAACCGCAAAACAAC